TTTTTTTACCATCCACGAAATAGCCGTTCATTCAGCTCGACATTGGGACTTAAAATAAACTTGTTAACAGGTCTACCAAGGTCTGAATATTTAGTGACTTTAAAAGTCCGCTCAACCTTTGCAACGCATTTAGCTTTGCGAAATGCAGTCGCATTGTCTCGACGTATTTTTGGTGATCTCGATCACTTTTCTGTTCAGTGGTTGCACCATTGTTCGATAACATTCAGCATTCTTTAAGTTCTCGAATATATGCAGAACGCAATGGTGAAACAACTTACAAGAAGGAATATTTCATGATATTGAGCAATATATTTTGAAAGCAACAATAATATTAATAGTAATCAGTCTAACAGGAAGACTAATGATACATAAGTTAGACGATCATCATAACATAAATAATATTAATAATATACACGAATGTTTAGCTATTAAGTTTTCGAATATATACAGAACACAATGTTTAAGAAACTCAGAACAAGAAACACTGATCTATATTGAGCAATATCATCTTTTGAAAGCAACAAATAATAATTTCAATAGTTCAGTGTAACACGAAGACTAATGATACATAAATTAGAACTATTGTCTTAGTTTCTCACGTATTACCACGTTACACCAGACTTAATACCAAATTTCAATTGTCTCGTGTTTTAGCTATTATAATTGTTACTCTAGATATTAATATAATATAATTTAATGTTATATTAATATAATTCTATATCATCATTTATTAACCCTTTGCGGACGTACAGATCCCTTGAAGTACATGAAACGTTTATCTGAAGCTAAATTATATATCGATTCCTTAGATAGTTGAAGAAAGGAAATTATTGACTTCTTGTTATTCGAGTAATTAAATCACCCCTTTGTGACTTAGCATTCCAAATATGAAAATTCCATCTCGTCGAAATGCTGACATTCGTCCGCAAAGGGTTAATACAATGGAATACAATGTTTGTATTCCAATTTCACTTCTTCGAACCTAGCGGCAATTCGAAGAGGCCCCATTCGAAGGATTCACACCCCCAGGAGACACCCCCTGAACACCCATCGAACCGATTCACCCCGTTCCCCCCTGGATCTATCGGAATCTCAGAAACGAACGCGTGTTCGAGTTCAATCTAATAATAAACCCCTTGCCGCATTCAGCGGAGGCGAAACGGTGTCCGACTAGGCCTCCTCTAGGCGTCTAATTGTCAGGGCTCTCTCGCTCGATTACTTTCGAAATCGGCCGAGGTTCGTCGTAAAGGTGCGCTTAGACTGTCATCTTCCACTTGCATCGTTTCATCCTTCTGACGTTTGGTTCAGGCAAAGATCGTGACGTTTACACCGTCAGGCAACGAAACATTTCGATTCATCCTCGCATTCATCTGCTGAAAAGTATCTTGAAGTACGATAGAATTCTAGGTGCTTCGACAGGGTTACACGTAAGCAATCAAAGATGTGAAACTGGAAAGATATCCTTTGTCCTTGTGACATTCCCTTAGACATCAGGTAGCAATGATTGTTGCTCGATGTTGGATGTTCGCTAAAATCGTAGAAACTTCAACAAGTTTACGCGTGATCAATCGAAGCTATGAAACCGTAAACTGCAATGACATCTTTCGTCCTTGCGCCATTCCCTTAGTCACCAAGTCGTTACCTAACAGGTAGAAATGATTGTTGCTCAATGTTGGAGATCCAGCAAAACATTGGATGTCTCATCGAAACGTTGGATATCTGCTAAAATCCTAGGTACTTCAACATGATTACACGTAACCAATCAAAGCTATGCAATTGTAAACTGCGAAGACATCTTTCGTCCTTGCGCCATTCCCTTAGTCGTTACCTAACAGTTAGCAATCACTGTTGCTCAATCTTGGAGATCCAGCAAAACATTGGATGTCTCGTCGAGACGTTGGACGTGTGTTAGAACCCTAGCCACCATAATAGTATAGTTCCAAACGCACCTTTATCGGTTATGTAACCCGCAGGTCGCGCATACACGCGGATGCGTGCGCTGCGCGGGTGTCGCTTCTATGCTGGAAACTGCTAGCGAGAGGAACGATAAAGCTGGCGATGCCGAGGCGAGATAACGCTCTCGCGAGACAGGTTGCAGGCAGGCAGGCAGGCAGGCAGGCTAGCGCGAGCTGTGTATGTGTGCCAGTGAAACGGTACGGGGCCTTGAAAACCGCTGCTGAATAACCGCGCAGCTTAGCAGCTACCCGTGATTTCCACGGTGACGCGATGAAACTTGGATTTTACACGCTGATTTATTGCGCTTACTGTTCCCTGGCGAACGCTGCTCTGGGCGATCGTTGATCTGGAGTGTGGCTGCAGCTTTAAGTGATTGCGTTTGAATGTTTGAAGGGACACCGTAGGCTAGGGAATGTTTGATTGGGTTTGGGACTTGATGAATCCTTGTTGGTGGTGTCTTTTGGATAGAGGCATTATTAGGGTCATTGCGTTTGAATGTTTGGAGGATATTGGACATTGGGGATTCTGGAGTTTGAATTAGTTTGAATGAGATTAAATCAGAGTGGGAGTTGAGGAATCCTTGTTGGTGGTGTCTTTTGGATAGAGTCTCTCTTAGAGTGATTGCGTTTGAATGTTTGAAGGAGGATATTGGAACATCGGTGATTTTTGAGTTTGAATGAATTTGAATTAGTTTGGATCAGTTTGAATCAAGATGGGAGTTGATGAATCCTTGTTGGTGGTGTTTTTTGGATAGAGTCTCTCTTAGAGTGATTGCGTTTGAATGTTTGAAGGAGGATATTGGACATGGATGATTTTTGAGTTTGAATCAGTTTGAAATAGTTTGAACCAGTTTGAATCAAAGTGGGACTTGATGAATGCTTATAGATGGTGTCTTTTGGGTAGAGTCAGTCTTAGGGTCATTGCGTTTGAATGTTTGGAGGATATTGAACATAGGGGATTCTTGAGTTTGAATTAGTTTGAATCAGAATGGGAATTGATGAATGCTTATGGTGTCTTTAGGATGCAGAATGTGTCTTTGTGTGGTTGGGTTTGAATGTCTAAAGGAGACTAGTTTGCACTACGAGACTGTCTCCTTTGTTAATTGAATTTTAATATTTGAGTTTGTTTTATTTTGGATTGTGCTGAGATTCGATGAATGCTTGTAGGTGGTGTCTTTCAGATGCAGAATGTGTTTTTGCGTGATTGGTTTTGAATTGTTGATGGAAGCTACTTTGCACTACGAGGTTTTTGGTTGAAATGTATGCTAGAGGTCTGGACACTTCATGAATGCTGTTGGAGTTTTCGGGTTCAGAATGTGTCTCTAGCTAATTGGGTTTTAATGTTTGAAGGAAGTTGTTGGTCATTAGGGAATAACTGCGCTATTTTGGATTGGAGTTGAGATTTGATTAATGCTCGTAGATGGTGTCTTCAAGTGGCAGTGTTTGAATGTTATATTTCTATATTCGAATGTTTATTTATAGTTTGTCATTGACGTTCAGTTAATTCTCGTGAATAGAGTCCTTTGGGTTTAGAGTGTGCTCGTAGTTCAGTAATAGTATAATTTATATTCGAATGATTAAGTATATTCATCATGCGTACTACGTGGGTATGTATATTATAATAATAGGATTATAGGATTATAAATATTATCTGGATATCAATTTTGTCATCTTCCGAGTCGAGGCAGAGTCTCGATAAACGCTCGTTGATTGGATTTTCAGTTCAACCTTCTATTCAGTGAGATCTTCTGTCTTATCTGATCGTTTGTAAATTACTGTATGCATATGGATGAATTTTTCTGATTTATAGCTTAGCTCTGTTCAAATATGAAACACCATGGGGAGCACTCGACACATTACCTATTGATAATACCTGTGTAGTTTAATTGAGTATGAATAATTAATGCTTCAGACTTCTTGAATAAATCTTTCAATAGTAGTAGCAGTTGCAAATCCTGAATCAACAAATCATCTCGATTGACAATCCAGTAGTATAATCAGATTTTCTGTAGAGTTATCCTTCGAAGAAAATTACTAAGTTGTTTTCAAAGTAAATCTATCCTTGATTGCATTCATGATTGTCTAATATGCGAAGTTCACACTTCAATTTACTACATTGATGCACCTTTGGTAATTTCAATGTTAGTTCCTCAAAATAGACTACACATCAGTTCCAGTGATTCTTTGAAAATCCCATTGATTTATCTAAACAGGTCACCTCAACCAAAATTTATCCCCCATAAATCATCTCTATAATAGAAGCTTTAACTAGATTGATTTACAGTTAT